ATTGTTCCATCTCATTTCCCTTTGGGGTTGCTGTAGGTGATCTGGAAGTCTGGTTTTGAGACTTGTTTACATGTCTTCTCATTTTGACGGGGGGCTGCTATTGGTGCCCACATGACTCACCTCCTCTGGGCTGGGAGCTATAGAATGGAGGCCCAGAAGCCCCTTCCTCTGGGCTGGGAGTGGTGGAAAGGTGGCCTGGAATCCCCTTTCTCTGGGCTGGGAGTGGTGGGATTGTGGCCTGGAAGCCCCTTCCTCTGGGCTGGGAGCAATGAAATGGTGGCCTGGAAGCTGCTACCTCTGGGCTGGAAGTGGTGGAATGGCAGCCTGGAAGCCCCTTCCTCCTGGCTGGTAGTAGTGGAAAGGCAGCCTGTTCTTTTCTGTTTTAGGCATTTGAAGGTTACAGATTATTCTCTAAGCATTGGCTTTAGCTGATACAGATTTTGACCTGTTGCATTTTTATTATGACTTTTTAATTTGACCTATTGATTAGGCTTTTATTAGTTAATTTTCCAAATATTCAGTGATTTTCTAGTTATGGATTAACTGGAGCCAAAGAAACTTCATGATACCCTTATTTGTTTACCTTTGCTTTGTGCCCCACTCACTCTATTATCAATTGTAGTTAATGTTGTAAAGGGGTTGTGGGGAGAGAGTGCATTCTACAATCATGAAAGCATTCTACACGTATATATCAGCTCATTCAATTTTATTATGTTGCTCAGATTCTGTATATTTTTACATACTTCATTTTAGCCATAAGTTGTTGCTAGCTAGCCTACAGATTTTATCCAGCCAGGATAAAGAGGATTGGACATAGTATAAACCAAGTCCACTAGAAAGCAGGGGCCTGGGAGAAACAGAATCCGTGGCCTTAGAAGTAGATGTGGGTCTGGCAGCTACTCTGAAGTTTGTGTCCTGTTCAGCCCCAAATGTATCCGAGATAAGCCAGATAACTTAGATAAAGCAAATATGTCTAAACCAATGAAAGATACACAGGATCTCATTAACTTCTTGCACTCTTGCAGGTTCTAGTTAGATTAGGAAGCCATGTTGGTTGTGATTTACAAGTCAGAATTTTCCATGTTCTCTTTCTTAGGCACTGACTTCTCGGCCTGAGGTACTTCTTAACTCTCCTCTGTGTCAGACATGACACACTAGAGTCACTGCTGCAGCAATAGCAGAGGTGAGAGGTAGCCAATGCAAGTTCCAGCCCTGAACTTAACCTTTTGATTCATTCTAAATTAAACAAAATCTCCATTGATAATCTAAGGACTAAAATGTGCTTCAGGTAAAAGCTAAGTGAATTTTATTTTTTTTCTGAGCTGAGTGGATGGGTGTTTGGGGCAGGGAAGTGGTTTCATTGCTAAAAACCACTCACTTCCCAGGATTATGATTCATCTTATATGACTGTCAACCTACTTTTTCTTTGAAATATGGACTAGAGGATAAGAGACCAAAACAAACAAGCAAACAAACAAAACCCTAAAGAACAAAAACAAAAACCTTCCTTCATTTGGATCCTATCTTTTTCTTTTTGGAAACTAGACAACTATTCACTTTCACAAATTCCAGTGTGTCTCCCATTAATGTCTCTGTTTCTCAACCTGTATTAGGTCACCCTCTTGGAATTCAGGCCAGAGAGAAGCCTACAGGTGATTTGGGCCCTACCTCATGAAAACAAAAACATGACAGCTATTGAAAAGGGGGAAGGACACCATTATACTCTCCTGTGGTTGGTAGAGTCGATCTTAGCTATGATTTCACTAGTTTTTAAGCCTTGGAAAGGGCCTTTATCTTGCTGTTGAGAGGTCTCCTACTCCACTGGAGTGGCCTGTGAAGAAATTGCTGATCTAAATTTTCTGGATCATTTAAACTGTGTGGTTCCTGAGTGCTTTTCTACAGCCCTGGCAGGCATTAACACACACTCAAAGGTCTTTACCCTTCAAATTCACTCCTACAGATCCTTCTAGATGCTTCTGCCCTTGTCCCTAGTCTGAGTTTTCTCTTGCCCCAACCAAGCACCCAAGTCATTTTCTACTTCTTTGAGACTACACTGTTTCTACCCTTGGGGCTATTTACACGCAAAACCAATGACTGGATAGCATAAATTTTGCCTTTCTGTGATTTCCCCTCACTATTACCTCCAAGGGCCACTAGAATGGGGCCGAACTGCAACAGCAGTCCATTTCTGGCTTGCATCTTCTTATTGTACAAGCCCATCTGTGAACCAGACTTGGCATTTTTCCTCTGTGGGTTGATTATGAAAGAGTCACCCTGTACCCACTTGGCCTACATGTGCACAGAGGGAAGGCACTTGCACGATAGTAATGAGTGGCCTGGGAGGGAGCCTGGACCACCTTCCCTCACAGCCTGCTCATACCACTATCCCTCCCTGAGGGTTATGCCCCGTATCCCATTTATCACTTTCATCTTAGATTGGATTGCTGCTAGGCTCACTCAGACTTAATGCTAAGTGTCTGATGACACTAAACACATTCTACTGAGGCCCAGTAGCAACCCAGGACCTTTTAAAACAGGTTCAGTTTTGTGGTATAAATGCTTTGGCCTTACTCTTGAAGCCTATGGGTTTTACTTGGTGAGCCTCCAATTAGGTTGCCGTAAACTAAGCAGTATTTTTCTCCTTAATATCATAAGATCTACCGTGCTGTTTGGACCAGGTGACAAAACTGCATGCACCACACCCTGGACTTACTGTGGAACTGTTTCCTATTCTGCGTGTCCTTCAAAGATGGTAGCTTTCCATGTGACTTAGCAAATGGGACAAAGCAGTATTTCCACAAATAGACTATGCCGACCTCACAACCCAAGTTAGTAATGTCTGGGACATTTTGGTTCCTTTTTAGTGATTAGAGAAGTGGGCCCTTTATTTTAAAAGGGATGTCCCAGCAAGCTCCTGAATATTTATAGGATTCATCTGCCACCATACTCCCCATTTCTTACTTGTCCAGGCTGATTGACATGGTGTTACAGTCATGCCTGGCCTGAAAAAGACCTGCATAGCAAACAACAGAAAAGGGCCATGCTATCCTCAACAAACAAGAGATGACCATAAAGATAATTTGGGACAAGATACATAACCTCCCTGGCACCAGAGAGTACAGTATTATATACACATCTGCGCTAACCTTCCTTGGACCCTCAGTCATAAGAATTCCATTCTAGATGATAGCCCCCTTCTCAAACCCTGAATAAACTTAATTTCCCTCCTAACTAGCTGCTGAAATCTTCCTCGATTTCAGTATCTGCTTGAACCCAGATAGGAATAAAGCTTTTATTGTTCACACAAAGCCTGTGTCCAAGTGGCCTCTCGTGTGCCGCTTGTGACAGTTACCATTGTAGTGTTCTGCAGCATTTGACCTTGTTCCTTACTGTAGTAATCACATCTACCTTGCTTCTGAGGTCATGTGTTTACTGGCCTCAATTCATTTGAGACCCTGTCTTCCCATTGCTGTCAACACAGCTAGTTCTGTAACAGGGTCTGCTAGTCTGAGCGCTGGCCTACTGGGTATTCTCAGTAGTGCTGGGACTCCTGGAATCGGCACATTTCTTAATCACTTTGCTAAACAGTGTTCTTTCTGACTTTGCCCCCCATGGAACACAGTTGGATGGTGGGGTTTTTTGACGACATATAGTGTGCCCATTTTAGCAGGCCCCCTCCTCTGGGCCTTGGATCTACTTTTCCACCTGTCTTACCATGGCAGTTGTAGCATTTTCATTTCATTGAGTGTGGGCTACTGCTTTTCCCCACAAGGTTTTAGGAAACAACATAGCAGAATAGTCAGAAAACTTCTCATATTGATAAACTCTTTTATGCAAATTTACATTCTTTTTCTCTTGATTCAGCATCCTCCAAATCCAAACTCATGTATGTTCTCCCTATTTCTGCAAGTACACACCAGCAGGGTCTTATAGCTCCATCTGTGTATAATCCCTTTCTCCACTAGGAGACCCAGCAGTTTCCTAGCTAGTTTCTGTTGTGGCTTGATCACAGTTACTGACCTAACAGCCAGGAGGGGAAGTGAGAATAGACTATAAATGGGATGAGCAGCCTTTAAGTTGTCTTCAAGCAGAATGGAGTGGGTCACATCTGCAGCTCCATGTTTGGAGGCTCTGAAGTTTTAAGATTCTCAAACGCACCAAGTTGAACTAACACAAAGGCTTCAGTCAGTCTCACTGGAAGCTCAAGATATGATCCCTGTGTCAAGTCTTAACTCCTTGCTTCCCAGCTAGGGCCCAGGCCTTGGCATAGCAGACTTGCCTAAGCCTCAGCTGCTTCTGCCCTCTGGCTGAAGGAGTTGAAACTCTCTTTGGATGCTACCATGACTCTTATGACTCTGATACTTTGCTTTAATTTAAATAGGTGAGTAGTTGTCCTTGGCCTTTTGCTTCTTTCTCCAGTGCTTGACAGCCTTCGGTCCTAAAGGGTGAAGGAAGCATGCTCTAGCAGAGGGAGAAGTTGTACTGCAATGCCATCACAACACAGGCTTCAGACACTCCTACAGCCAGCTCTGGGTCTCTGAAGGTCCTCAGAGTTGTCTTGATCTCAGGCCCAGGGGCTAGGGCCACCCCAGCCAAGAGGGACCAGTTAATGGAGAAAACTTAATCTTGGGTAAGTTGGCTTTCTTTGGCTGGAGGGCATTTCCTGAGGTGGGGCCTAGCTTTGTGCTGTCAAGGGGAATGAGCATCTGTCACATCATGATGGGAAATCAGGTGTCACAGAGCATCTTACATTGACACTGGGAATTGGAAGGAGGGCAACATGTGAAAGATGGACATTTAATGTGTCCTCTGTGTTCAGCTGTGCTAGATGTAGGTTATGAACATGAAAGGTCCTTGACCTCAGAAGTTTTCAATTGAAAATCATATGCCAACAGAAGAGTTGAGACAGATTTCAATGTGCAGCAGTGTGAAGGGAGAATGTGGCTAAGAAGACAAGACAACCCTTTGATGTGGTGAGCTTTGGAGCTCATAATTTTCCTTTCTCAAGAGATACCCAAATTCCAGCTCCAAAGGAAACAGCATCCTCCTGGAGAAATCTAAGTACAACAGTATCTGTGTCTACCTACTTCTACCTGCCCCGTATCAACAAAAACACACAGTTCCCTTCGCATGTCCCATGTCACTGAATTGTGCTGCTCAGCAGGACTAGAGACCTAAACTATGGTGGACCATTGAAGAAACCGTGCTAGGGACACATATGAAAATAGTATGCTCAGAGGTAGCCTTTCCTTCTATTCTGAAAGAAATGATGAGAGCACCTAGGATCTGGAAAGCTTCCAAATCCCTGCAAGTGAAATGCAAGGAAAGGCAAAGTAGGGGCTCTGCCTTTCTAGTGTCCCTGACAGATACAGCCACAAGATGGCAGCAGGAGCTCAGCCCATGCTGGGGATAGGATGAGTGTGTGGGTGTGGGTGTGGGTGTGGGTGTGTATGTGTGTGTCTCCCAAGACATACCTCTCCAGCCAAATGAGGAATAAGAAATGAATGAATGAAAGGCCCTGTTTAAATCACTGCACACTGGCAGTTTCCCTGGCTGCTCACCATTTCCTGTACTTAGTTACACTTGCCGTTTGGGTTCTCTCACTGCAAATGTCAATGTGGGCTCTACAATGGAGACTCTCCTTTAAAATAACATGGGTCAGGGCTGGGAATGTAGCTCAGCTGCGCAATGTCTGCCTGGCAGGTGAGAGTCCCTGAGTTCGATTCCTGGTACTAAAAATAAATTTAAAAAATAGATGAGTAACTTGGGTCTTGCAGCTCCTGAGGTCAAGATCATGAATGATTACACTCATCTCTCCGTGTCATGGGGGCCTGGTTCCAGGACCCGCCCCCAGGAACTTCCATCCTTAGATGCCCAAGTCCTTCATATAAAATGGCATAGTGTTTGAATACGGCCTACAAATCTCCTCCACTGTACTTATCATCTTGATTACTTTTAACGCCTGTCTTAATTACTTTTCTCAGTGCTGAGACAAAATACCAGGCACCCAAGTTAAAGGAGGAAAGGTTTATTTGGCTCACAGTTTGTAGAGGCTTCAGTCCATAATCAGCTGGCTCCAAAGCAGGGTGGCACATGGCAGAGGGGCAACTTGGCTGGCAGTAGACAGCAAAAGCAACAAGGGACCTTAACAGCATCTTTTTTCCCTTTTCATCCTATCCAGACTCAGGGCAGGTAGCACTCACAGCCTTAATCCTAGTGCCTTTCAGCCTAGCATTGCACTATGAGTCCATCCCAGCGTCACACACTCTGGATCCAGCCACCTCTGAAAAAGCCCCACCTATGACCACATGAGGCTTTGGGGGCACATTCAGACACAAACCGTAACAACGCCCAAGACAATGTGAGCACTATGTAAATAGGTGTTAAACTGTATTGTTTAGAGAATATTTTCAAAAGTCTGTACATGTTCAGTACAGATGCCATATCCCCCAGCCCCTCACTGTTTTCCATCAGGTCTGTTGAGTCTGCGGAGGGTCAACTGCATTGCCATTGTTTTCCTGAATTCCACCAGAGGCTTCACATGGCGTAAAGCTATTGTTTCTCACAAGAGCCCGGTGGAGCCAAGGAAGGCTCCAATGTGTGTGCAGAACACCAGCCTGTTCTGCTCAGGAACCTGGGTCTTTGTGAGACAATCCACAAATTGCCCTGCTTCCTTCTTGACAGGTGGGGACACTTGACAGGGACAAGTTGAGGTGATAGGAGCCTAGGGTCTGGTGTTCTCATCACTCAGAATGATCATGTGCATCCTGGGGAGTTTGATGATGGCACTGTAGGCAGCCAGCACCTCGGTGTGAGAGCCTTGTTGCTGTCCACTCTCAGGTGGTGGATGCGTGCATGAGACACGGCCCCCCAACACACACACACAGTCTCATAGCCACAGATAGATCCACAGGAGACAGTCTATGGGAGAATTTAGCATAAGGAGCAGGTCAAACAGGTAAGGACCAGAGGTAACTGGAATGGCAGTCACGGAAAGACTCCCCTCCCAGGGCTGGGGGAGAAAAGGAAAGAGGATAGGATTATCAGAAAATGTGAAAACATTATTTTTGATTAGGATATTTGATCGATTTCTACAAGAGATCCAAAATAACAATGGCTTAAATACAATAGTGGCATATTTCTTTCTGGAACATAATAGTTTGGCTTAATCAACTTAGGGCTGTGTTGATGTGTATTGGGGGGCATATTATTCCATGATGTTGGGGGCTCAGGGTCTATATTTCATTGCTATCATAGACTGCTCAGCTTATCTGCATAGTGGTAGACAGCACCCCTCTGTAGCTAATGCCAACTGGGAAAAGGCAGGGGACAGTCTGTCCCTTGAAGGCCACAATCTGAGGGTTGCTAAATCTCATTGACTAGAATTCAGTTACATGACCATACCCAAAGGCAAGGATGCTGGGAAATGTACTCTTTATTCTGGACAGCATGTGCCTACTAAAATTCAGGAAAGTATAATAAAGAAAGCAGAAGACGCTGGTTAATAGAGGCCATTGAGCAGTCCTCCTATACAAAGCTCATGTATATAAGCACAGATTACCACAAGAGCATTCACTGAAGCATTTGTTGTAACTGAAAAAACCCTAACAACAATCTGAATGATATCTACCAGTAAGGGACTGATTAAATAAAGAATAATACATTTGTCCAATTGAATATTATACAGCAGTTAAAATGAATGCGGAGATTCAATCCCCCGTACCAAAAAACCCCCCAAAAAACATGAATGTGGAGAATATTTATTGGTAATAAGGTAAGATGTCCAAGTTCTATGACATGAAAAATAGGGTTGCAAAACTATTAAAAAGTAAAATATACACACATATGAATGAGGCGCCTAGTCAATGGATGCATATACTTCAGAACAAAATTAAATGGGCAGGCAAGAAACTTTACCTTTCCTTATTCATTCTTCTCACTAAAGTTCTTACCAAATGTGTGCACTGCTTTTTAAAAGATAATTTTTTAGAAAAGGGGACAGATTCATAAATACTGATGTAATGTAGAAAAATTTCAAAAACATATTAAGTAAAAATCAGGCTTGAGAAATATGTAGAATGTGATCCTATTTACCTGTTAAAGAAAAAATGTGCATCTGTGTGTGAACTCAGAATAGTAAGTGGTGCCTCAGGCACAGTGCTCTCTGTTGTTATTTTACAAATATGACTGTGGAAAGCTTTGGAAACACACTAAGCAGAAGCATGGAAAAAAGGCATCTAAGAGGAGGGACAGGGGATTCACTAGGCAAGAAAGGAGGGTGGATGTGTCAAGGGTGTTCACTTTTTGTTCTACATGCATTTGCAGTTCGAATTTTTACAAGCACACATTCATCTGCTTGTTTAAAATTTTAATGAAAAGCCTAGTGATATATACATTTCACAGTGCCTCACACATATTTGGGATGCAATATTTATGGTCCATGATTTTATTGTTCCCACTTCCCCAACCCTTTGGAGTCATCCATCCCTTAGAGATTTAGATAACCATGATTTAAATCTGCATCCTAGGCACTTGGGAAAGCCCCATGTCCTTCACACTTCTGAGGCTCCTCAGGGTCCTCTGAGTCCCAATACAGGGACCACCCAGCCCACTACCCCTGGCCAGACTATGCCAACCTCCCCTGCCATACCTGAGAATAGCACTCACCAGCTTTGGGCCAACTCTTGCCGAATAAAGGTTGAGTAGAACAAGTCTTTCAGAGATAGACTGAATACTATTTATGGGATCAAAGACATGACTTGGGCAATTGCTTGAGCCCCTTTAAGCCCCTAGCACCTTCCATGTAAGTGGGAAGTAGTAATGATACTCATCTCCTAAGGCTGAGAGGGATTAGGGAAAGTAGGTGTGTGACTGTGTGCTCTATGTCTCCAGCATGGAATATACATAAGGACATGTTTCATTTATTATTCAAAACAAATGGCATGAGCACCCTGTCACCATCGTGACATTAGTCCTCCTCTCCAGGGAGTCCGTCTAGAGAGTCTGCAGCCTCTTAAAGCAGGCTTGGCTGCAGGCATCAGGTCTCTGTTGCAGTTTCCTTGTGGAGAGGACTTTGAGAATCCCACCAGTCTGCCGGTGGAGTCTGAGCTGTTGCTATTGAACAGGATCACAGCTGGAACTCAAGGTGTCTTGGCACCCCTTTCTCTCCACCTTAGGGACCAGTGGAGAATGCACATGCACCTCAGTGCAGTGGGGCCTCTCACTGACTGCTGCAGCCCTGTCGGCCCTGCTCTTAGTTCCCTCAGGAGTCACGGGGCGGGGTGGCCTTGGCTACAGAGTGTTCCCAACTCCTCATTGCCCTGACCTCCATCTGCATGACCCTGGCTGGGGATCCCTGCTCATAGGGGCAGGGCTGGAATGTGTCCTCAGTTCTTAATCTCTCTCTCTCTTCCCCCCACAGGTACACACACACACACACACACACACACACACACACACACACCAGTGGCCCTCTTTGACGGTGCCAGTAAATTTATAAAAGAGTTTCTAATCTAAACCACATTCCCACTTTCCCACCCTCGTCAGCTCCTTGAATTCTGGCCAGTGACCGCCCTCAGTCCCTTACCCCATGGAAGTTAGCTTATGCCCAATACCCACCAGGGTTCCCCA